TGTCCCTTCGCCAAAATTACGAACATGCGAAGTGGACGCACCCTCAAAATCAGGCACTCCCCCGTAAAAATGGGAAAAATCCTCAAACTGTGTAATCATTGTAGGTGCCTGCGTAACCTGCTTCAACTCTAAATGCAAATACACATAGGAGAAAGCAGGAAAATAATATATCCACTGTAAAGCACTATCAGTATTCAAGTTTCCAATGTTCCACGAACCATCGGGTCGGTTAGTACGTAAACTAATCCCCTCAATCATCCAACCATCTCGACGGAACCCAAAATTTTCATAAAGTATATCTTTAAGTTGTTGAAATGATATCTTCTCCCAATGCTAAATGAACCATCCGGACGGTTTATAAAATCTGAAAATGAATCTAAAACCTCTTTGGGATGAGTCCAATACACGTTAACAAAATATCGGTACACTCCATTTATACCTGTTAAAAATAAAATCACGAATTCTTTTAACAAACCCTATACTCATTATCCATCAATAACATATAATATTCCAATCAGTTAATCATTCAAAACCCTAATACCTTATCGAACAATAACATAGAAATCATTTATAATTCCGATAAATTGAAACCCTAATTTTGAAAACCCTAACCCCAACAACAACCAAACAATTACACAATTGACAATTTACACATAATATTTCAATCTCCAATTCAATATACACACATAATCGTTAATCAATTATCAATTTCAATCTTCAAGCACCAACATATTCAAACATATTATAACAATTCTCAATCTCCAAATAACTCCAAACAAATATAAAAAGTTAAGATAAGCCAATATACCTCGTGCGAATGAATTAACCGGAAATAAGACTCGTGTCGCTGTTGTCGGTTCACGTCGGGGTGTAGATTGGGACGAGTTTTTTCGCTCTTTCTCTGCTCTCTGTTGCTCTCCGCTCTCTGTTGCTATTGTGCTGCTCGCGTAAAATGAATGGAGAAGAAGATTTTTTTAATATATTTTAAATAAAACGTATTTAAGGAATACGTTTTTTCTGCATTTAATTATAAACCGTATTCCTTAAATACGTTTTATTTAAATGTATTTTAAAAAAAATTAATTTTTATGAAGACGTATTAATCGAATACGTTTTCCTACAACGTATTACTCAAATACGTTTTTTTATTTAACGAAAACAATTTTCAAAATTGTTTTTGATTTTTTTTAATTAAAACAGTTAAATAAAAACGTATTCAAGGAATACATTTTATTACATAATTTTTTTTTAATAAAACGTATTCAAGGAATACGGGCTTTTTATATTCGTCGACTCCCTTTTTTCTTTTTTTTTGTCCACTTATTTTGTTGCTTTTTTTTTTTTAAATAAATTACTCTTCGTATTTGAAACGTATATCCGGTTGTTAAGGGAAATGATAATAGATTACAAATAATGCTTCAAGATTTGTTATATCTCTTTGTTTTTTTTTTTTGGTCGACAAATATATATAATTATATTATTTAATTATTTGATTTCATAAACAAGGTTTTGTAAGAATACTTTTATCTATATATTGAAAATGTATTTGTAGGTCATTAAGTTCGATTGTTAAGGGGATTTAAAACTGATTATAATTAATGCTTCTAGATTTAATATAAAAACTTGTCTAAAATTACTATAATTATGGTATAATTAATGCATAATGGCGAAAAACGATTTTTATATTTGATTTAAGTCTATTCTTATTATATATATATTGTTTTTTTATCGCACGGACTACG